GGAGTCAAAAAAAGTTATCTATGGAGGCAAAGAAGGGAATGTATGAAAGTATGGTAGTACCAACACTCTTATATGGGTGTGAAGCTTGGGTTGTGAATACAGCAGCGAGGAGGTTGTTGGAGGCAGTGGAGATGTCCTGTCTAAGGGCAATGTGTGGTGTAAATATTATGCAGAAAATTTGGAGTGTGGAAATTAGGAGGTGTGGAGTTAATGAAAGTATTAGTCAGAGGACTGAAGAGGGGTTGTTCAGGTGGTTTGGTCATTTAGAGAGAATGGATCAAAGTAGAATGACATGGAGAGCGTTTAAATCTGTAGGGGAAGGAAGGCAGGGTAGGGGTCAACCTCGAAAAGGTTGGAAGTAAGGGGTAAGGCAGGTTTTGTGGGCAAGGGACTTGGACTTCCAGCAGGCGTGCGTTAGCATGTTCGATAGGAGTGAATGGAGACGAAAGGTATTTGGGAACCGACAATCTGCTGGGGTGTGAGCAGGGTAATATTTAGTGAAGGGATTCAGGGAAACCGGTTATTTTTATATAGCTGGACTTGAGTTCTGGAAATGGGAAGTACAATGCCTGCACTCTAAAGGAGGGTTTCAGGATATTGGCAGTTTGGAGGGATATGTTGTGTATCTTTATACGTATATGCTTCTAAACTGTTGTGTTCTGAGCACCTCTGCAAAAACAGTGATTGTGTGTTAGGTGAAAGTGTTGAATGATGAAAGTATTTTCTTTTTGGGAATTTTCTTTTTGGGTCACCCTGCCTTGGTGGGAGACAGCCGACTTGTTATTAACCCTTAACCCTTTGACTGTCGCGGCCGTATATATACGTTTGTGAGGTACCGTGTTTGACGTATATATAGTCATAAATTCTAGCGGCTTCAAATCAGGCAGGAGAAAGCTAGTAGGCCCACATGTGAGAGAATGGGTCTGTGTGGTCAGTGTGCACCACATAAAAAAAATCCTGGAGCACGCAGTGCATACTGAGAAAAAAAAAACTCCGACCGTTTTTTTTAATTAAAATGCCGACTTTGTGGTCTATTTTCGTATAGTATTTGTGGTTGTATTCTCGTTTTCATGGTCTCATTTGATAGAATGGAAACTATATTATAGAAATGGAGGTGATTTTGATTAATTTTACTATAAAAAGAACCTGGAAATGGAGCACAAAGTACAGGAAATGTTTGATTTTTGCCGATGTTCAAAAGTAAACAAATGATGTCATTGTCCAATAAATGTCCAAATAGCCATTCTAATACGCAGTCATGAATGGGTTGATGTAATTTTTTACAATTATTACAGTATTGCAGTAGTCTGCATAACAGTAAATCTTCTATTTTTTGTTTGAATAAAATTTCAAAATAAAAAGCAAGAGTAATATCACAGGGACCTGGAGACATGACTGATGAACAAAGAAAATCTTATTTTAGAGCCAGGAATGTCTGCATTGTTCATTCTGGACCTTATTTTGAAATTGTCGTATTTTTTAAGTTTCGTGAAATTGGCCAAATTGCAAATTTCTGACCATGTTATTGGGTAGTTGAAATCGGTAAATGGGCAGTTTCTTGTGCTCAATCGATAGAAAAAATAGAGTTCTGAAGAAATAGTTATGAGTTTGGTTGACTGGAATAACGGAATTAGCCGAAAATAGGGCTCAAAGTAGGCGAAATTGCCGATTTTTAACCCTTTCAGGGTCCAAGGCCCAAATCTGGAGTCACGCACCAGTGTCCAAGAATTTTCAAAAAAAAAATTTGTTATTTTTTCTTATGAAATCGTAGAGAATCTTTTTGTGAAGGTAATAAAATAAAAAGTACGAAATTTGGTGGAAAATTGACGAAATTATGCTCTCGCGAATTTTGATGTGTCAGCGATATTTACGAATCGGCGATTTTGCCGACTTTGACTCCCATTTTAGGCCAATTACATTATTCCAATCAACCAAATTCTTAGCTATTTCACTAGTATTACTTCCATTCTATCGATTGAGCACAAGAAATCGCCAAGTCAACTGTTTCAACTACAAAATAAAGTGATCAGAAATTGTTAATTTGGCCAATTTAACACAAAGTTCAAAATATTCCAATTTCAAAATAGGGTCCAGAATGAACAATGTAGGCATTCCTGGCACTAAACTAACATATCCTCTGTTCATTAGTTATGTTTTGAGGCTTTACAAAGAAATTCCATTTTGATTTTTTATTCACATAATGAATTTTTATTCACACCAAAAAATAGAAGATTTACTGTTATGCAATACTGTAATAATTGTATAAATATCATCACCATATTTGTGAATGTATATTAGACCCACCAGCTGACGTGTATTAGACGTATGAGGTCGTTTGTTTACTCTTGAATATCGGCAAAAAATTTAACATTTCTGCTACTTTGAGCTCTGTTTCAAGCCATTTCCAGTGCTAAAACCAATCAAAATCATCTCTATTTCTGTAATATGTCTTCCATTCTATCAAATGAGACCAAGAAATCGCAAATACAACTATAAAAAACATACGAAAAAACACTGCAAAGTTGCTGTTTTAATCGAAAAATCATGATTTCATTTTTTTTCTCTCATTATACACAGTGTGCTGCAGGATCTGTTTTATGTGGTGCACACATACCACATAGATGTATTCTCTCATATCTAGGCCCAAATGTACCACTCACAGTTTATCAGAGTGAGCTGAGCTCATGGCGTAGATCTACGGTTTGGACCCTGAACGTAAAGCCGTAGATCTACGGGACGGACCCTGAAAGGGTTAAATATCGCCGAAGTCGCTAACTTCGCGAGAGCGTAATTCCGTCAGTTTTCCATCAAATTTAGTTTTTTTGGTGTCTTTACAATCGGGAAAAGATTCTCTATCATTTCATAAGAAAAAATAATTTTTTTTTTTCGAATATTTTGCGACACCAGGAGCAACTTCAGGATTGGGCCCTTCGACAGTCAAAGGGTTAAACAGTCCAAACAAATCGACGTTCAAATTTATAGTGCTACAAAAGTGGATCCACTTTTTTTAACATATTTTCAAATGTAACAAAAAAAAAAAGTAGATAAAAGGTTTTTTTTACACGTTTTCAAATGTAAAACAAAAAAGATGATCTACATTTTTTTACATACTTTCAGATGTTGAAAAAACGTATACATACGTTTGGACCATTTAACGGTTAAAAAAAAAAAATTTGAGTTACAAGCTCGGTCATGGAACGAATTAAACTTGTAAGTCAAGGTACCACTGTACAAGCATACATATACACAGCCCTCTGAGATTTCTTCTATTTTCTTACTTCTTTCTATTCTTTATTTTCTCTTATCTCCACGGGGAAGTGGAACAGAATTCTTCCTTCGTAAGCCACGTATGTCATAAGAGGCGACTAAATTGCCGGGAGCAAGGGCTAATAACCCATTCTCATTTATACATTACTAAAGTTAAAAAGAGAAACTTTTGTTGTTCTTTTTGGGCCACCCTGCTTCAGTGAAGATCTTTATTTCTACACGTACATGTACATGGTATGCAGGCCTAGCTAGCATCAATGACGTACTACTATATAGAAAGCAGCTCTTTATGCAGAGTATTTTGGGCAAATTAGGTCAGTTTTATTCCAGGATGCGACCCACACCAGTCGACTAACACTCAGGTACCCACTTTACTGATGGGGAACATAGACAACTGGTATAAAGAAACACGCACAGTGTTTCTACTCTTGCCATGTGAAGCAAGAGCTTTAGCCACCAGGCCACAGGGCACCTTAACCCTTTCAGGGTCCAGAGGCCAAATTTCGAAGTGTGCGCCAGGGTCCAAGAATTAAAAAACAAAAATTTAATTTTTTCTTATCAAATGGTAGAGAATCTTTTTCTGAAGGTAATAAAACAAAAAGTGTGAAATTTGATGGAAAACTGACGAAATTATGCTCTCGCGAATTTTGATGTGTCAGCGCTATTTATGTATCGGCGATTTTGCCGACTTTGACTCCGATTTTAGGCCAATTACATTATTCCAGTCTACCAAATTCTTAGCTATTTCACTAGTATTACGTACTTCTATTCTATCGACTGAGCACAATAAATCGCCACATCAACCGTTTCAACTACAAAATAAAGTGATTGGAAAATGGTAATTTGGCCAATTTAATGCAAAGTTCAAAATATTCCAATTTCAAAATAGGGTCCAGAATAAACAATGCAGGCATTCCTGGCACTAAACTAACATTTCCTCTGTTCATTAGTTATGTTTTGAGGCTTTACAAATTAATTCCATTTTTATTTTTTATTAACATAATGAATTTTTATTCAAACCAAAAAATAGAAGATTTACTGTTATGCAATATTGTAATAATTGTATAAATAATATCACCACATTTGTGAACGTATATTAGACCCACCAGCTGGTGTGTATTAGACGTGTGAGGTCATTTGTTTACTCTTGAACACTGGCAAAAATTTAACAGTTCCTCTAATTTGAGCTCAGTTTCAAGCCATTTCCAGTGCTAAAACCAATCAAAATCATCTCTATTTCTGTAATATATCTTCATTCTATCAATTGAGACCAAGAAATTGCAAATACAACTATAAAAAACATACGAAAAAACACTGCAAATTCGCTGTTTTAATTGAAAATTACGGTCTCAGTTTTTCTGTCATTATGCACTGTGCTGCAAGATTTGTTATATGTGGTGCACACATACCACATAGATGTATTCTCTCATATCTAGGCTCAAATTTACTGCTCAAAGCTTATCAGAGTGAGCTGAGCTCATGGCGTAGATCTACAGTTTGGACCCTCAACTCAAAGCCGTGGATCTACAGCACAGACCCTGAAAGGGTTAAAGGACAGCTTTTGAACAAACGAAGATGAATTTTTCATTCTGGGTCACCATCACTTTGATGGCATGGCTGTGGTAAAAGAAAATTATGATATGCAAAAAGTTTTCCAAGAAATTATAATTTTCAAAGAAAATATGAACTCCTCAGCATTGAATTTTAAATAGTACAACCTACTTAATAATTACCATTCTCCTCCCTGTATCTCCTACGGTCATGTTCACGACTACGTGATCGATGATGTCTGAAAGAAAACAAAAAGGATTATGCTAATAAATTCTCTGTTCTATTAATGACTTGACATGCTGTTGGAGTGTAAGCAAAGTAAGATTTATGCAGGGATTCAGGAAAACCAGTTAACCACACTGGAATCCTGGAAGTGGGAAGTACAGTGCCTAAACTGAAGTTGGGGGTGGGGATATTGCATTGTGGAGGGGCATTTGAGCTGTAATGTCAGCATGCCTCAGGCAAGACAGTGATAGTGAACTTTTTTTTTTCTTTTCTAGGTCAACATTCCTTGGTGGAGACAGCCAGTGTTAATATTACCAATACTTATAATTATCTTAAACCACTCTTCAAACATATCCACTTCCACACAAAAAAAAAAGAAAATAATCATAAGCTATAGTGATCTATATATTCCCAATAGAGTGCAGGTGGATGCCTGAGCAACAGAACATTCATGATCCCGCACAAAAAAGTAAAGTCGAAAAATTTAAAGGGAAATAGCTAAAAACCTTTTAATTATAAAAGGAAAGGGGAGGGGGGAAAAAAGGCCAGGGGGGGGAAAAAAAGGGGAAAAATAAAGGAAGGGATTAAGGGAAAAAAAAAGGGGGGGGGAAAAAGGGGCAGGGGGGGGGAAAAAGGGGGGGGGAAGAAAGAGGGGGGAAGAGGGGGGGGAAAAAAAAAGGGGGGGGGGAAAAAAGGGGGGGAAAGGGGGGGGAAAAAAAAAAAAAAAAAAAAAAAAAAAAGGGGGGGAAAAAAAGGGGGGGGGGAAAAAAAAGAGGGGGGGGGAGGGGGGGGAAAGAAAAGGGGAAGAAAGAAGGGGGAAGAAGAGGGAAAGGGAAAAAAGGAAGAAAAAAAAGAAAGGAAGAAGGAAGGAGAGAAAAAAGGAAAAAGGAGGAGAGAAAAAGGGGGAAAAAAGGGGAAAAGAGGGGGGGAAAAGAGAGGGGGAAAGAGGGGGGGAGAAGAGGGGGGGAAGAAGAGGGGGGGGAGAGAAGGGGGAAGAGAGGGGGAAGAAAAGGGGGGAAAGAGAAAAAGGGGGAAGAGAGGGGGGGGAAGAAGGGGGGGGAAGAGAGAGGGGGGGGGGAGAAGAGGGGGGAAGAGAGAGGGGGGAAGAGGGGGGGAAGAGAGGGGGGAAGAGGAGGGGGGGAAGAGAGGGGGGGGAAGAGAAGAGGGGGGAGGGGAAAAGGGGGGAAAGAGGGGGGGGAAGAGAGGAAAAGGGGGGGAAGGAGAGAGAGGGGGGGAAGGAGAGAGGGGGGGAAAGGGGAAGGAGGGGGGGAAAAAAGGAGGGGGGGAGAAGGGGGGAAAGGGGGGGAAGGGGGGAAAGAGAGGGGGGGAAGGGGAGGGGGGGGAAAGGGAGAGGGGGGAAGAGGGAGGGGGGAAAAGGAGAGGGGGGAAGGGAGAGGGGGAAGAGGGGGGGGGAAGGGGGGGGGGAAGAGGGGGGGGGAAGGGGGAAAGGGAGGGGGGAAAGGGGAAAAAGGGGGGGGAAGGTGAGGGGGAAGAGGGGGGGGGGGGAAGAGGAGAGGGGGAAAAAGGGGGAAGGGGGGGGAAGAGAGAAAAAGAGGGGGGAAGGGAGAAAAAGGGAAGAAGAAGAGGGGAAGAGGGGGGGGGAAAAGAGGAGGGGGGGGAAAGAGAGGGGGGAAAGAGAGGGGGAAAAAGGAGAGGGGGAAATGAGAGGGGAAGAAGAGGGGGAAAGGGAGAGGGGGGGAAAAGGGGGGGGGAAGAGGGGGAAAGGGGGGGGGGGGGGGGGGGGGGAAAAGGGGGGGAAGAGGGGGGGGGGGAAGAAAAAGAGGGGGGGAAGAGAAAGGGAAGGGAGGGGGGGGAAAGAAGAGAGGGGGAAGAAGAGAGGGGGAAAAAAGAGAGAGGGGGGGGGGGGGGGGGGAAGGGGGGGGGAAAAAGGGGGGGGGGGGGGGGGGGAAAAAAAAGGGGGGGGGGGGGGGGGGGGGGGGGGGGGGGGGGGGGGGGGGGGGGGGGGGGGGGAAAAAAAAAAAGGGGGGGGGGGGGGGGGGGGGGGGGGGGGGAAGGGGGGGGGGGGGGGGGGGGGGGGGGGGGGGGGGGGGGGGGGGGGGGGGGGGGGGGGGGGGGAAAAAAAAAGGGGGGGGGGGGGGGGAAAAAAAAAAAAAAAAGGGGGGGGGGGGGGGGGGGGGGGGGGGGGGAAAAAAAAGGGGGGGGGGGGGGGGGGGGGGGGGGGGGGGGGGGGGGGGGGCCCCCCGGGGGGGGGGTTTTGGGGGGGGGGGGGGGGGGGGGGGGGGGGGGGGGGGGGGGGGGGGGGTTTTTTTTTTTTTTTGGGGGGGTTTTTCCCCCCCCCCCTGGGGGGCCCCCCCCCCAAAAAAGGGGGGGGGGGGGGGGGGGGGGGGGGGGCCCCCCCCCCCTTTTGGTTTTTTTTTGGGGGGGGGGGGGGGGGGTTTTTTTTTTGGGGGGACCCCCTCCCCTTTTTTTTTCCACTCCCCCTTTTTTTTGACCCCCTTTTTCCCCCCCCCCCCCAAAAACCCCCCCTTCCCCCTCTCCTTCCTCTCCCTCCCTTTTTTTCCCTCCCCCCCCCCTAAAAAGGGGCCCATCCCCCGCAAAGATTCCTGGCCCCGCCCTTTTTCCCCCCACAACCCCCACCATTTTTTCCCTACGTTGCCCTAAAAAAAAAAATTTTTCCCCAATGGATAGGAAAGCCAAGTTGTCCAAAAAATGGTCCTTTAACCGTAAATAGTGCAATAAAAAAAACCCTTAACCGTAAACCCTTTAAAAAAAAAAAGAAGGGGGAAAAAAAAAGGGGGAGGAAAGAAGGGAAAAAAAGGGGGGGGGGGAAAAGGGGGGAAAAAAAGAGAGAGGGGGGGAAAGGAGAGGGGGGGGAAAGAGAGAGAGGGGGAGGAAGGGGGGGGAAAAGCGAGGGGGGGAAGAGAGAGGGGGGGAAGGGGGGGGGGAAAAGGGGGGGGGGGAGGGGGGGGAAAAAGGGGGGGGGGGGGGGGGGGGGGGGGAAAAGGGGAGGGGGGGGGGGGGGGGGGGGGGGGGGGAAAAGGAGGGGGGGGGAGGGGGAAAAAGGGGGGGGGGGGGGGGGGGGGGGAAAAAAAAAGGGGGGGGGAAAAAGGGGGGGGGGGGGGGGGGGAAAAGGAGGGGGGGGGGGGGGGGGCGGGGGGGGGGGGTGGGGGGGGGGGGGGGTTTGGGGGGGGGGAGGGGGGGGGGCCCCCCCCGGGGCCGGGCCCGGGGCCCCCAGGGCCCCCCCCACTTCACCCAAAATCCCCCCCCCCAAAGCCAAAACGAACACCTGAAGCTTGAGTCCTAAAAAACCCCAAAGTGGCCCCCGTGGCTCCGCCATTCTTTCCCTTCTTAAATTTCAAAACAAAAAAGCTTTAAAATGAGCTGATTAGGTAACAGCTTTGCAAACAAAAAGTAGGGAACCCCTTCACCGTAAATAGCTTGCCCAAAAAACTAGGGTTTTAACCAACTTGCAAACCAGGGAAAAAAAAAAGAGAAGGGAGGGGGGAGAGGAGGGAGGGGGGGAAAAAAGAGGGAAAGTAGTAATAAGGGGAAAAACTTAAATTTGTTACCCCTTTTTTTCACAATGTTTCACCCATTGTATAGGGAAATCTTTTTAAAAAAAAGATACCTAACGTTTACGTGGTCCCCACTTAGCTCTTCATATTAATACCTTATGATTAGCCGTAAAAAAGCATTTGTTAGATTATGTTTGGTGGATAAAAGGTGTGGGAGCTTCGGATATACAGTTATAGGGGCACTGATATTCCAACACTAAACCCCCCCTGCTTTTAACATTTTTTGCATGATCCCCCAAAAAAATTTTTTCCGCTGCTTTCCCCCCCTTTTATTCTACATATGCCTCACCCCCCCCCCCACACCACATCCCGCTCTCTCACTCCAAAAGATGGTATCTTCCTGACCAGGCATAAATTACTGCCTCCCTTTCTCACGCATTTTTAAAATTCCCAAAATATTCCCGCCACTACCCAATACCCCCAGCTCCCAATTTTTACAACTCCCCTACTCTGTTTTTTACTGACAAATTCAATTCATTTCCCCAGGGTTTCCTAACTTGTTTATCTTAATCCAAAATTTTTTTTTTTTTCATAAAAATTTTTGACGGTGCCCCTCCCCCCTATATTGCTCTCCCTTTTCCTCTCTCACCTCTCTTCCCTTTCTTTTACCTTTATATACTTGCTCTTTTTTTAACACTTTTCATAAGCTCCTTTGCTCTTTTTTCCCCCCCTTTACTTCATTATTCCACCAATCACTCTTTCCTCTTGCCCCCACCCTCCTATAGCCAAATTCGCCCCACATTTAAATACTGTTTTTTTTTAAAAATATTCCCAACCCTCTTAACCCCCCCACACTCATACTTTCACCACCCACCTTTCTGCCAATATTGCTTACATCTCGCCCGAAAATTCCTCCTTCATATTTTTTTAAACTTTTCCCCCTGTCTCATCTACCCTTTTCTAACCCGTAGCACAAAATAAAAAATTTTCAATATAGGTGGGAGGGCACGTCGAAATTTTAATGAAATAAGAAAAATTTTGGGGTGAGTTTTAAAAAAATTAAGAAAGCCTGGGGAAATATGGATTTTTTAGTTAAAAAAAAAGGAAGTGGGGGGGTTAGTAATGGGAAGAGGAGGGATTAGGGAGATGGTGAGAATATTTTGAGGAACTTTTTAAAGTTAAGGAAAAGGGGCGTAATTTCATCCTGGCAGGGAGTTTCCCTCTTTAGGAGTGAAGAAGGCAGAATGTAAGTGTGGGGGGGGTACGTGAGGCATTACGTAAAATAAAGGGGGAAAAACACTGGGAAATATGGGTCAGACAGAAAAGTTAAAAGCAGGGGGATTAGTGTTGGGGTGGTTTGGTACTTTTGTTTTTTAAATGAGAAAGGGGGAAGGTACCAGGGATTGGCGGGGGAGCATGTATTGTCCCTTTATATAAAGGGAAAGGGGACAAAAGGAAATGTAAAAATTTTTAAAAGGGAAAAAGTTTTGAGTATACCAGGGAAAAATGCACAGTAGGGTTATAATTTAAAAAAATT